ATCTTCGCCAGGCGCGCGCCCGCGTAGATCGGTCCATAAGATGAGCCTGCAGGTGAGTAACGGCGCCACACTCGCCGAAGCAGGCCCAAGTCGGCATATTCGACAGATGGGCCGCAGGTGGCTAGCGGCGCCACGATCGCCACCGTCGTCAAATGCAAGCCCAAGTCGGCTGAATCGGCAGGGTGGGTGGTGCCGCCATGCTCGCCACCGTCGCCAGGCGCGCGGTGTACAAGCAACTACATGCAGCCGAGGGAAGCGCGGTATTGCAGCCAGCGGGTAAGGACGAACGGGCATGCAAAGAGGTTGAGCAGCTGCAAAGGGAGCTCGATGACTTGCGACGCTCGAACGCTCGAGCGCTCGAATGCCAACAACGTTGTCGGAGCGCCAGGGCCGGGGAGCCGAATCGGTCTCTGACAGCGATGTTGTTGAGCTCGTCGAGGCTCTCGGTTATGACATAATGTAGGCGGCGACCACCGTGACCTAAAACAGATGATACTCCTAGGTGAAGGATTCCAAAGACATAGCAGAGCTGGACATAAAGAGCAGTTCACTCATCGTACTGCGAAATGGTGAAATCGGGGCATATAAACGAAGAGCATGAGCTGCGGTATAGTACAGGGGACGTTGATGATGGTGAGTGGAGAATGTAGTGCGAGGAAAAGAGGACAAAGACATAAAAGTCCTGAATACAGAAAGAGTGAATAGACGAGACTGAGTAATCAGCGGATCTGAGGCTGAGAAGAAGTAAACGACGGCGGTTTCCGTACGCTTGCGCTTCGGAGACGGTTCGAGGTGAACGCTGATGGGTGCGCGGGGATGCGACGGGCTGCCGTTGGACATCGAGGACGAGTGCGGCCTGCCGTGGTGAATCTCGTGCGGAGCGTTCGTACAAGACACACTTGCAGTCCTACTCCGCATATGCGACGATTGGGCAGTACCAGACGCGCGCGGCCGCTGATGCGGTCGTGCGACTGGCGCGTAGCCAGGAGTCACAGGTACGGCAGGAATCTGCTGCCATGGCGGGGAAGGAGCGCAGCCACGCTGACCAGGTGGGGGAGGCGCGGATGGTGGACCTGCGACCGGAGCCGGCGGTAAAGGATGCGGCTGTCGGTGGTGTTGCAAATTGTGACTTGCGACCGTTCGGTTTGTCGTTCGCGGGCGCAAAGTCGGGTTGACCGGACGCGAAGTGTTTGAGCTCGACGTAGAGTGTATTCTTGTGTGGCGAAGGCAAAGCAATGAGGATGAGGTCCTTCGAAAAGGTATCGAGTATCCTGCCCGTGTCGACGAAGACCTCTCCAGGACCGGGTGTTGCGGGCTGTCCGGGCTCTGCGCGACGTGTGAGCCAAGTTCACAAGTGCCGTATATGACAATAGACGTACGGGTATAGCGCACACGCAGTTCCGCATGTTCGTACCGGGGCCGGTTCTTGCGCAAACAGCAGAGCGGAAACACAAACCGAAGCTCATTGCGCATGACGTTCTGCTGCAGTGCTTCGGGTAGAACACGCAGTCTGCGTGATAAACCCGATTGCACGTCTCGCACGTCACCTTCGGGTAATGTAGGAGGTAGCTCGTCAGGCCACGGCAGATACAACGCGTACCGTCCGCCCAGTCTTGATCCTCATCCTGGCCGAACGTGAACTTGGGCCGACGGCGCTTCTTCGCGCGAGTCGTCTGAGGCTGACGTGCGAGAAGACGGTGCAGTCCAGCGAGATCCAGGCCGAGCGAGACGTCCATCGATGGACTGAGCGTGAATCGGATGGTGTACAGCTTTCGTATAAAGTGTCGTACGTATCCAAGATAGTCGCGCCGTTGGTACATGGGATGGGCTGTGAACGCCAGGAATTGGCTGATGTGTGCGGAGCGCCGGTCGAGTCGATGGACCATGAGCTCAAGATCGTGATACTGTTCCGAATAGCGCTTCGAGATCGTAGGCGCCTGCTGGAGCAACATCGGCATGTAGCAGCATCAGCGTGTAGCAGAAGTGCCAGGGCCTATCCTGTAGCCGAGCGTGGGTCCCATCCCAGCGTCGCTGGTCGCAGAAAGACCACGAGCCTCCGAAGCGCGCGCGCACTTGCGGTGGAGCCGCGCATCGCAATGGTCACACTGGGCGGCGTCTGATGGCACTCCTGAGGGCGGTGCCGGACCGGATCGTCCCAAATGCCACTATAGCCTTCGTCGTCGTGAGGGAGGTAGTCCTCGGGTCGGGTAGCGGCAATGATGCCGTGGAACATCTGCTTGGCGCCCATAGAGGACGGCGAGGCGATGGGTGGGTACCACGGCAGACTCTTAACCCAGCGAGCGTGCAGCGTAAGATGCTTGTCGAGCTCGTCGAACTTCGGCATGCTGGACATCTGAAGATGCTGCTTGCCGTAATCGATCTACTTCTGCACGATGTCGAACAAGTCCTCCGTATAGTTGAGCTTGTAACGTCGATTGAGCGCCTCGTCGCACTTGCCCTCGATGCCCTTCGCGCGGTTGAGCAGGTCCTTCACCTCGTCGACAGCAGCGATGCTGAACTCTTTCTGCGACGCGGTCACCATCTGCTCGACCTCGCTGAGCGACGGCTTCTGCGGGTATGCTTGACAATCCCTCCAGACTTTCGCCTGCGACTCGTACTTGCGAGCGCGTCCAAGGGCCTCCTTGAGGCGCGTTTCTGTAGCGACTTCGATGTAAATCGTCGTCTCAGTGTCCAGAAAGCACGCGAGTTCGTCGATGGTCCTGCACGGCTGAGGAAGTACATGGCGCGCGCGCTCCTCCCAACTCTGTCTTTTCGAGCTTGCGCTGCTCAAGCGCGCGAATGTCCTGATTCTCCGGCGTGAGGCCGCAAGCGTACACTCGCGCGAGCGACGTAGAGACCTCGATCACGCTCATTGCATTGTCCTCAACCTCGATGCAGAGCTCGCTCGGCACTTCCTCCCTCTGGAGGAGATTCGCGAGTTCATCTACTGCAGGTATGGCGATGTTGAGAACAGACGCCTCGGAGATCACGACATCGCAGACAGAAGCGCGTCGATCGATAGTGGCAAGTAGTTCGGTCGCGCGTTGCTGAAGATCTTCCACTTATATAGCGACCTTCTCCAAGCTCGCGATCTCCGGCGTCTCGAAGCCGAGCTTGCGCGTAGTGATCATGAGATGTTGTACGTAGGCGAGTGTTGGAGTGTTGGCGGATCGAGACGATGTGCCGTTGACGCTGGGCTTGCGCTTGAGGATCGCATTTGCGGAACCCACCGAGCGGCTTGCTTCGAAGGTGTGAACTTGGCGAGAGCCTCGAGTCCGTCTAGTGGGTGCGTTGAGACGACCGACCCATTCCACGGGTGCATGAGCGCGCTCCTCGATGGTGACAGCTGTAGCCGATACCTCAGCGTCGGAGAACCGAAGGCGGAGCGCGCGTTGGTCCGTCGCGCACGAGCAGAGCTGGTCGGCGTGGTCGGCGCAGACAACGCTATTGGTGCAGCCGCAGGTGATCTGCGAGAGGTAGCAGAACACCTTGCAGACCGTGCATCGGTACTGGTCTTCGGGCCGATCTTCTTGCTCTAGCACCTCTTGCAGCTTCAGCGAGCGCACTTTCGCCTGGTTCGCGCGTTCACGGTTGGTCATCTCCAGTAGACTATCCTTCAACCTATGAGACACAATGAGCTGACAGTACGAGGGCGGTGCAGCGCGAAATACTCACCACATCGCAGTCGCGATGGTCTGCGAATGATACGTGATTGTAATAAGCAGCTCGTCGTGAGAGAACACGGGCTGCTTCCGGTGCTCGCGGTAGCGCTGGATACATTCGCACCCAAAGTCAAGCCAGTCGGGAAGCGCAAAGATGACAGCCTCGTTGAAGTGCAACCCCTGCGTGTCACGCCTTCGGGAATGTGCTGACGAACTCGCCGGCGCGCTGATTACAGGCAAAGACGCGGACGCAGGCTTCACGTAGACGATCCGGTTTCATGAGTGTGACGAGTTGAAACAGCAAGTCAGGCTGCGCTTCAAAGATGCCGGGCGCCTCGCTCTTGATGGCGGCCTCAAACTTCTGCGTGTCCGCGCCCGGCATCCCGTACCACGTCTTCGTCTCGCCCCAGTGCACTGATGTACATGTCAGCCTACGAACGATAGGAGAGGAGAATGGTCAGACGTACTGAAGTTGACGCCGTAAGTGTGATGGTCCTCGTTATGCGAGTAGAACGTCGAGAACACCGTGCCGACGTAGATCCACAGCACCGTCATGCTCGTGATGTCACTCTTGATGTAGCGCAGCAATGAGTCCGGTAAAATGAACATGCTGTTCAGGTTCCATGGGTCCTTGGCGTACGGGTTACTCGGATGCGTCTCCGGCGTCGGACTTGCCTAGCCATGCGTCGTCGAATGCACGTGGGCGCCGTACTCAACATCGACCGTATCGTTTGGATCCTCCCCGAGCCTCCAGAACTCGTTCTCGACGTCATTATCCATGACGGTCACCTCGCCGTACTTATATGCAACGGCGTCGCCGGGGTCGTGCTTCGCCTGATCCGGAGGGTGCCTATACGTGGTCGATGAGCTGCGACGCCTTACGTGCGTAGCGAAAGCACGTACCACAGTCGCAACCGTCGCAGAGTAACATCTCATTGCCGTTCCCATTGCTATGGAAGACTTCGCACGTTTGCTAATAGAGTGCAGACGTGAGTATATACTCTCAATAAGGCAAACGCAAATGAAGATACCTCGCCCGACTCCTCGTCAGATTCACGGTCCCTATCGGCGTGAGTGGTAGCAATCTTTGCAGGTTGTGGTGGCGGGACGGCAGTTGACATAGGTTTCTTCGACGCTGTGAAAGACCATCAGTCCACGTCGCTTTCACATATATATTAGGTAGACTCACGAGTCATGTCAAGCGAGGACCCCCTCGTAGATCTCCTGGATCGCGACGCCGACACCGGCTTGTCGTCCTCAACCTCAATCTCAGACAAGTCATCCGAAAGCGGGTTCTCGGGCGCCACCACGGTGAAACTCGCTGTAATAGTAGAGACCGCCGTCGCCGTACTCGCAGCAGTCCAAGACGCACTAGCCTGCGGCGGCGCGTGCGTGCGAGAGTCAGGATCACGCGCAGCAGTGGAGGTAGGCGCGAGCGCGGGAGACGCCTTGACGTGCCGCTGGAACTCTTCATACCGCAGGATCACACGTGTGTACGCGTTCTTGAGCTGCGTCGAGAGGCCAGGAGCGCCCGTGTACCCCATCGTCGGTCCACTTGCGCGTCTTGTTGATCTGTAGGATGGATGGAGCGTCAGTGATGGACTCGCTTTCGGCACGATGTGCGGCAGAGGGCGCTCGAGGCGCGCTGAGTCAGCAAGGCGCTAGAACGGCTAGAACGGCCGCCTCAAGGCACGCATGCGCCCGCAGACCCAAGCGCTCGCCGTCCCCGCATCGCCCGGAAACAGTGCTTCAGACAAGAAATAGTAATACGTACCGCCTGATAACCGCCCATCTTCTCCACCTCCTTACGAAGGCGGAAGAAGCCACCAATTCAGCCACTTGTTGTTGATCGTGGGCACCGAGACGCGCGTGTTCCCGACTTGCTAGTGGAAGCGATAGAGCTGCTCCAGGGAATTGAGTTTCGCGCGAGAGCTTGCCTCGATGAAGTAGAGCCGCTGAAGCCGAGTGGTACATCGGAGTCGCTGCGCCATCGTTTCAGTGAATAAACCCAAATATATACGTATACGCTCAAGCGCACCTCCGTGTCAGTCACGAACGGCATCTCCCAGTTC